TACATACTACTTTCCACCTTACAGCATATTCACCTTCTCTGGTCACCCTGCTGTCTTCCACTTGGAGGTGTTGCATGTTTCTTACAGTATACATTTCAAAGCTGCTCATCTAAAAGCATTAAATACATGTCCCGTGTTTTATGTATAAACTCTAATAAATGTTAAGTCTTTGAAAGAAGTGAGGGGGGCAATACATGTCTTTGTATCAACTATGCCAGTCTTTCATATTTATCGCTGTCCGTTCAGCAATACAACAGATTATAAATCAGCCTGTGGGCCCTGCAAACCCCTCTGCGCTATAAAGCACCCTGCACACTAATAATGAGATTTCCACTGAACCAAGTACATAAAGAGCCTTTCAATCTATTGGCACAGCATTTTTCATCCTAACCTAATAGTATGCTTTAGACAAAATTATTAATTTTGATCGCTTGTGGTAAAGAAAAATAACAAACAAGTTGACCATACAAAAGCAATTCTTATGGCTGTCCGGCTGTTTTTTTAAATAATCCAAGGAGGGGAAACCATTCTAAAACCTAAAGGGTATGTTTGTGTGTTGTGTATGTAAAGAGTGAGGCACACACACAGTTATAAAAAACTGCATGGTAGAATTTGGACAACAAGGTGATCGACAACACAGCAAATGATAAAATAGGTGATCTGATCAGGAGGTCTGGATTCCAAGACCACTACCTACCTTCATTGGGGAGATATGTGCATGTGCCACATAGCCGTGGATGTTCTCAATCTGGGAGAGGTTCTTCTCAGCCACTTGGACCAGCTCTGGCCCAGGAGCCTCATCAGTGAACTGTGGTGAGCTTTGCTCCAGTGGAGATCCTGTGTTTTCATCATGGTGTCTGTACTTCTGCAGAGAACAACAGAGACCAGTCAGATAAAATGAGATGAATACCATGTCATAAGGAGATTTGAGACCTTTTGAGGTCTTTGTTTCCCTTTGACAACTGCTTGGTTTGTACTGCAGTCACAAAAACTCTATATTCCAAAACCCAATGAGCTTCTTACAAAGGCAGAATTTTAAACCACACGTCAGATGTGAAAGTTGTTTCAAAAGGTAGGTTATTTAATTATGCTGACCCCAAAGACCATTTTGGCCTTTTCAGAGAAGGCAATCCCAAAATGGATTATGACAAAAAATTATTCCAAAACGCTGAAAAAGAGAAATATTATAAGCTTATTTCATTCAATACCCAGAAGTTGTGCTCTATGTTATTTAATGCAACATGCTAATATCAAAAGTCTCTTTTGAGGAGATTTGTGTTAGAAGTTACTGCTAACACAGAGTCACAACTTGTGGCGTTGTCCATTTGTGATTGCACCACACCAGTTGCACCGCCCCTGAGGCTCTGGGGGGAGGTCACTCGGTTAAAAATCGCGTTCTGTGGGATGATCGCCTAGGGTATGGCAACGGACAACTGGGGCATGGCGGGGGAGGCTAGGGTATGGCGACTGCCATACTCTGCCAGCCGCCCCTGCCGCCCCTGCTTAGAACTCTACAGAGTAGGCAGCAAGGCATCTCACTAGGTTTTGGAACAGGTCTGAGACATCTGAGACATGTACAGACAATCATAAACATGAAATTTGGATAAACATGAAGTTTAGATTTAGTTCATTATAGTAACCACATAGTGCAAAAGGATGGAAAAGGAATATGGTTTTGGGGATGGCAGATACTATAATACTGACATTTATGGAAATCTTTGACTGAAAGTGGAGATGCAGTGAAGCTAGGACCCTTCCGTTGGGGTATCTAGCACAGTAGTCCGGTACCTAAAGGGTGGAGCTAGACTCACTGCAGAATACTGATTGGTTGACAGAGAATCGTCACTTGCTCATGCTGCAAGGGGAATGACAACACAAGGGGAATAAAGCTTCTCCTTCACTCGTTCTGCTATGCTGCTTATGCATGTTGGGCTTGTTTACATCAGAGTGCACAAACACAAAAAATATAACTGTATTTTATAATTTTATATTTTCACACATATACACAGACAATGTCATGCTTTCTTCTACTGTTGGTGGTGGAAACGCAAGTTGGATCAGGGTGTACAGCCCCGAATCGTACCGTACTCAGGGCTCCAGACTGCCACCATTTTTTCTACCTGTGCGACTAAATTTTGTGTGCGGTCGCACTGGCGCGACCACCGCGTTGTTCAACTCATAAGCGCTGCCATTTCTGTTGCATGTGAGCAACGTCCAATGGCAAGTGAAACTGAAAGCATAACGAAACCGTGCGACTCGTTTGAACTGCGCAGCGCTTCGAGTGTAGAGCCTGGTTTATACTCGCCACGTCAGCACGAGCGTGAAGGTGCGCACGGCAAAAATGACGCAAATAAAAAAAACGGGTTGAATGTTAACCACTTTCGTTTCCATATAACTATAAACTATGATAAAAGCATGCATTGATTAATCCCATGTTGTAGCGCAAAAAAAAAATTTAAATTGCGACCAAATCATGTGCTCGTGCGACCAACTGAGAAAGTTAGTCGCAAAAGAGTGATTAGTGAGAAGAATGAGTCTGGAGCCCTGGTACTGTACTGAACCGTACCACTCAGTGGAAGGAAACTAGCCATAAGTGTCAGCAAGCTCATGTTCAGCTGATACAAATACTTATGGCCTTATCTGTAAACCTGGATATGACCTGAAAGCAAACATACTAAAAACACAAATGAGATTTGAGAGCTGCAGTGAAGGAGAGATTTTAAGGGTAGTAAGGGCTTGTATTCAGAAGACTTAGGATACCCAGGACAACTTAGACTCAGTGCTGAGCCTAATATAAAGTTGTATAGACTTCTTTCATGGTGCATTTTTGTCCTTATTAGAGCCTGAAAGATCCTGATGCTGTATGATTTCTTTGCATGGGAAAAAACAGTATCAGCATTCTTCAAAGTTGTTCCAAAAGGTCACTTAATATTACACATTATCACTGCGTTTGGATAGAAAGGTTTGGGGGGAAAACAAAATCATACAAGCAAAATCAGGAAGTAAATAATTTATATTCCTTCATTTTTAATTTTCAGGTGAACATTACACAATATACTTGAAGTATCATATATGTTGTAACTAACTACATTCATCCACATTTTAATTATATAAACACAGAAAACTATCAAACCATTCCCTTGCACCAAGTAGTGCTTTCACATGACGATGAATGGGTTTCCCTTCCTCTAAAATAAACACTGGTACATGCTTACACAAAAAGGTAGCTGATGAGTGGTTTCCACACAGGCAGAGGATGGCCACAGTTGCTATGGCAACAGGTTTATCAGATACTGACTACTTCTCACTATAGGTGAGCCAGTGATTCAAGCAGCTGACATAAAAAAAATAATTTAAAGCTGACATAAGTCTCATTGAACTGGTTTAACCACTTAGATTTATGCATTTGAATGGCGTATAGTCAGTAGCCAGATTACAAAAAAAGTGCAATTAGGAATTGATACTGAAAAGTGTTTGGTTTTCTTCCCATTAAGCAAGTAAAGAGAACATTTATATATCATCCACAATGTTTTGGAAAATTTGATAATGGGCTTTGAGGTCAACCTAGATAACCTAGATAATATTAAATCTCACTCTACATAATCATTGCATTTGCTTAAAAATCATCTGTCCATCAGACAGTTGTCATCATATTCTTAAACATAATTTCCTCTGCTATAACTCATCTGTGCAGAATGTGCACATACATTACTGCCTCCCTCATGGTCAAAGGCTCAATTCCAAATAAAGACATTATGTCCAGAAATGAAATATGTGTTGTCCATTTATTAGAGATTTTAACTGAGATGAACACAGGCCTGAGAGAGTATTCAGAAATACACATGAATAACAACAGGTTTTTAAACCAGAGTTTAGGGACCCCCATGGGACCACGAGAGGGCGCTATGGGTTCCATTTAATTTTTTTTTTTAATTTAATTTTAATTTTAAAGCCCACAAGTCTCCTGGTTTCAACACTACAAAAAATGTTGAAGCTGTGTCTGAAATCAATCACTTGTTCATACTTTTACTATTTTCTGTATAGTGAATGGCACATAGTGCACTATTTAGTGAACAATTCAGACAGTGTAAATATGCTTTCTATTGGGGTGAATGAAGTCTGGTTGTGCGAATCATATGGACGAGTCGGCACAATCTACAAAACGTATCTGAGTGACCATGCTTCACTTTGGCTTTATTCATCTTGTATATAAAAAATGAACACATTCACTTAGGCTTCAGTACACTCTGACAATCTAAAATTTGATTATTGAATTTTGGAACTTTATTTATTTCACATATTTATAGAGCATTATTTCACATCTTCATGTTATCATGTTTTGCTGAGAGTATACATTATTTTTATGCATGAAAATAAATAGCTGCCTTTGTATTTTAAGAAGGGGGTCCCTGGTATCAAAAAGTTTGAAAGGACTTCATTGCGCTTGTTTTGTTTCCGGGTGAATGAAGTCTGGTTGTGCGAATCATATGGACGAGTCGGCACAATCTACAAAACGTATCTGAGTGACCATGCTTCACTTTGGCTTTATTCATCTTGTATATAAAAAATGAACACATTCACTTAGGCTTCAGTACACTCTGACAATCTAAAATTTGATTATTGAATTTTGGAACTTTATTTATTTCACATATTTATAGAGCATTATTTCACATCTTCATGTTATCATGTTTTGCTGAGAGTATACATTATTTTTATGCATGAAAATATATAGCTGCCTTTGTATTTTAAGAAGGGGGTCCCTGGTATCAAAAAGTTTGAAAGGACTTCATTTCGCTTGTTTTGTTTCCAGAAAATTGTAATATTTGCATGAATTTGAGTTTAACTGTAAATTACTTTGAACTATAATTTGGCAGCAACATATTAAGCTATTTAGGATGGAATTTCTAACAGATCCTCTAAACACTGCTCAACCACCTATAACTGCAGTGTTTGACTGAAGTGAAATTTTAGCAATCCAATAACACAGTATACTGTGACTAAGCCTTGGCAACATTAAAAAGTCCCAGAAGTGTCCAAAGACGTTGCTTTTTCTTTGTGCATCTGGCCACAAGTCTTTCCCTAACAATACCGCCATGTTATGTAATTCTCCTCCAACATCCATAAATGGAAATATCAGCAAGACCAGCATAAAGAATTGCTATCATTAAGATTTGTAAGTGTTCAATGTGTAGAGCATGTGGGCAGAAGCACATGATAGAAGAGGAGAGCTCACAGTCTTCCCTGATGAGAGCATGAGGAGGAGGATCTCCTGGCAACTACGACCACTCACTATTGAGTCATGGTCCTCTGTGGCTGAGGTAAGCAGCTCACTATTCAATCTGAAGCTTTCCTGGCTGGGACACACCGGATACTTCACCTCTGCAAACTGGGATTCAAACTGACTCCAGTTTCCACCTCTGCACATTGTGCCAATATTCACAGCTTTAAATGAGAATTGCAATAACCTGCTTTATATGGCAATTTGTCAGTAAGATGAAATGCTTTACCCACAGGTTTAAATTTCATATGATGAAACATCAAAAAAGTATTCTATTGTTCACTAACGTGGCACAAACACTGTGAGACAAGTTATGTGCCGATGTTTAATACTTTAGATTAGGGAGCTGGCCAAATCCATAACCTTAAAGGGTTAGTTCAACCAAAAATGAAAATTAGTCCATAAATTACTCGCCCTCTAGTCATCCTATGTGTATATGACTTTCTTCTTTCAGACGAATCCAGTCGGAGTTATATAAAAAATGGTCTTTGATCTTTCAAGCTGTTGTGAAGTAACCCTTTAAGTATGAACAATAGTAATAGTAATGCTAGCAAACACTTCTAATTAGAACTGAATTAAATAAAAAA